AAGGGGGGTGGGAGGAGGGAGAGGGAGAGGGAAAGTACATGTGAAAATATTAATAATTTAATAAAAAAAGAAAAAGAAAAAAAAATAAATAAAACTACTGAAAAAAAAAAAAAGTGGCGAACAGACTTAGCATTTCTGCAGCTTAGTCTGAATAAATAAAACTACTGAAAAAAAAAAAGTGGCGAACAGACTTAGCATTTCTGCAGCTTAGTCTGAATTCCTTCTCCCTTTCCAGCAGAGACAAATGGCAACATTTGGCAGCCTTAAAATATATCACATGCCCTTGTGATGTTTTGTTTACAGAGTTTATTTACGATAATAGTGGTTAATGTTTACTGAACACTAAACATGCCATCCATTTATTTCATTTAATCAGTCTAGAAGTCTTATGAAAAGGAACTTGGATTAGCCCCTCTTGACAGACTAGGCAGCTGAGGTGAGGGAAGCATGATTCATTTGCCCAGGGTCACATGGTTAAGCGGAGGAGGCAGCATTAAAACCCAGATTGCCTGACTGCAGATGACACGCTCAACACAAGTGTGTCACCCTGTTGATAGAGAAGCAGGCTGTGTGTGATAGAGCGTGGGGGTTCCCTGCCAGTTGCCAGCTACCTGTATAACCTTGGACAGGTTACCTAAGTTCCCTGTAAGATAAGCACAATCACAGTGCTTTCCTCACAGGGCGACAGTTCAAGTTAAACAGCATACTGAAAATACTTAGTTGTTGTTAATGCTGAATAGAGGTCCCACACATGTTGTTAAGTCCCTCTGGGTTAGGAATCATACCTTGGGTCTCTTGGAATCTTTGCTCTCAATATGTAACACAAAAAACCCATGAAGCTACAGATGGTACTGAATCCTGCACATGTTATATATTTCCTATACCTATAAGCTATGGGTAAGCTTATTTTATAAAATAGGCACCATGAAAGATAAATAACAATAATGGTAAAAATAGAACAATTATACTATGGTGGAAGTTATGTATCTCTTTCTCCCTTGTCATAGTTAGGGTTTCTAGTGCTGTGCAAAACACCATGACCAAAAATCAAGTTGAAGAGGAAAGGGTTCATTCAACTTATACCTCCACATTGCTGTTAATCATCAAAGGAAGTCAGGACAGAACTCAAACGGCAGGATCCTGGAGGCAGGAGCTGATGCAAAGGCCATGAAGAAGTGCTATTTGCTGGCTTGCTCCTCGTGGCTTGCTCAGCCTGCTTTCTATAGAACCCAGGACCACCAGCCTGGGGATGGCACCAACCACCATGGTCTTGGCTCAAACCCATTGATCATGAATTGAGAAAATGCTAACTAAGGCTCCTTCTCTGATAACTCTAGCTTGTCAAGCTGACACACAAAACCAGCTGGTACACACAGTGAAACATCCCCTTTTCTCTCTTCCTCCTGATATGTTTGTTTGGAGAAAATGATATGTTGAGCTGCAGAGTAAAGTGTTTTACAGACAAGTGTGAGTACCTTACTTCCACCAAAGCACCCATATAATTAAAGCTGCCCTTGGTGGCCCATGCTTGTAATTCCAGGAGTTGGGAGAGGGAGACTGGCAAATAGATCCCTTGGGCTTGATAACTATTCAGCCTGATGTGCTCATTGAGCTCCTTGGTGAGAGACCCTGTCTCCAAAACCAAGATGAATGGATCTTGAAAACAAACAGTGGAGATTGACTTGTGGCCTACACGCACACATGCATGCATGCATGCACACATGGAAAGCACGCGCACATCATATATCTGCAAGTCAGAAGCTCAACACCCATGAGTCTATCAGTCTCTTTAGATTTACTGTCCTAGCCATGTACTGATTCTTACCCACCTTCAAAGGACATGTCCTCACCAAGGCAAACAAATGAGATATGAACAGTGCATGCATTCATGTCTGTTCTCTTCCAGCTCAGTTACCCCTCCAGTATTTCTATTTCACTTCGTCTTTTCTGACTCCACCGGGTGGAAGGTAAATTGGTCAACCCAGTGCAGAGATGCCAGATGGAAGAGGAAGCCTGATCTTTCTCAAAATTAAATGCAGATCCTGAAGCTGGAAATAAAAGCTACAAGAGTCTAAATACCAAGTTATTAATCATTCACAAGTCACATCCTTCCTGTGGTTTTTGTCCCAGACACAAACAGAGCCCAGGGTTCCAGTACACTGACTGCATCCTTGGTTTCAACAATAATTTTCAAAGGCTTGAGCAATCACTCCTGAAAGAGAGGAGTTGGGATGCTGATTAAGTTGCCTCAGCTAGGGAGGAGCTAGAATCTTGCCAAAAGGTTTTCAAGGCTGATAGGCATTTAAAAGTGAAAGCAGAGTAGAGTCTGCTTGGGATTCATGAGCGGAGCTATGAAGGTATGTAATTATGACTGAAACGGAAATATAATTTTATCATTTGGGAATCGTGTTCTCCGCTCCACTTTCTATCATCACCGCTATATATAGACATACTCATAAGGGAGATTCCTTGGGTAGAAGGCAAGTGAGAAAAATCATGCTTTTCCTTCCTTCAGTAACTGATAGTACTATTCAAACCCGAATAGATATTCACTTATCTGATGGCGATGAAAAATTCACAGATATTGCATGGTTTTGTCACATAATGAAAGGGTTTCTTTTTCTTTTTCATTTTAAAAAAAAATTATTGTATTGTTTTTCATGTGTGTGTGTGTGTGTGTGTGTGTGTGTGTGTGTGTGTATGCGTGCGCGTGTGTATGTGTGTCTGAGTGGATGCCATATGTGTGCAGGGGCATTCAAAAGCCAGAAGAGGATGTCAGATCCCCTGGGATCAGCGTTATGGTGATGGGTAGATGTGTGCTGGGAGCCAAACTGGGGTCCTCTCCAAGAGCAATATTTGCTTTTAACCACTGACCTTTTCTTTCTTTCTTTCTTTCTTTCTTTCTTTCTTTCTTTCTTTCTTTTTTTCTTTTTAAGTTGTTTCTTTCTTTTCACTTCTGCTTTTGTTACTGTCTTAGTTAGGGTTTCTATCGCTGTGAAGAGCCACCATGACCACACTATTATAAGGAAAACATTTAACTGGGTGTCTTACAGTTTCAGAGGGTTAGCCCATTATCATGACGGTGGGACATGGTGGCATGCAGACAGACATGGTGGTAGAGAAGGAGCTGAGAATTCTACATCTTGTAGGCAACAGAAGTGAACCGAGACACTGGATGTGGCTTGAGCATATATGAGGCTTCAAAGCCTGCCTCCACAGTGACACACTTCCTCCAACAAGGCCACACCCACTCCAACAAAGCCACACCTCCTAATAGTACAACTTCCTTTGGGAGCCACTTTCTTTCAAACCACCACAGTTACTGAGTCTTACTAATGTAACCCAGGCAAGGCTGGAACTCTCTATGTAGCTCATCTTGGCTTCAAACTTCTGAGGCTGCTTCCTTGGCCTTCCCAGTGTGGAGCTGTATGTATATCACCATGCTTGGCCGGAGATGGTATTTGTGTCAGCATCTTATATGAGATATTGCAGCCATCCCATGCGGTCGGAACTCTTTTTAATTTTGCTATTATTCTTATTGTGATGGTTATATTTTGCAGATGAAAGAAATAAGACATAGAAAAATGAAGGAAGTTCCCTGGCATTGCACACTTGGTATAGATGATGACACTAAGATTTAAACTCTGACTCCAGAATTCTTATCTCCATGATTCTATTCTGTCTCACCAGTAGATTGACAGATGTCAGTCTTGCTCCATATGCTTCCATGTTAAGAGCTGAGCATACCAGGACATTGAAAAGAAAGATTATTTCACACAGTATCATATCACCTACTTAGTAAGTATCATTTTCTTAACCTTATACTTGTATTCTTGTACCCTTTTAGGCAAGGCAGAATCCTTAGCCAGCCATATGCCTCAGGGACTTTGCACATGTCTTCTCTTGCCTGGAATCCCCTGTCCTCCGATCTTCCATGCTACTTAGCTACCACCTACTCAACCTTAAAATATCATCTCCCAGTGCAGTTTCTCCTGAATGCTTCCCCTCACCCTGCTCACATGCATTCTCTTACCCTCCTACACATTTTCCTTTGTAGCAACTTGCAATTTGCAATTAAATGTGTAATTAGTTAGTTATTAAATGTGGACTTTCCTGCTAGGCTATAGGTTCCATGAGGATTGGGCTCATGCCTATGTTTTTCAATATTAGCAGAGAACCCGTCAGTGTTAACCTAGTTAAGTTAGAACAGCCAATGAGCTACTGAAGGAGCCATCAGCCAGGCCTTTGTGTCTCCTGTCTTGTGGCATTGTCATACACAAGCATGCATGGATGGGGGAGGTGGGAGGAGGTAGAAGTAGAGGAAACTGATTAGGGAGCTTCTTACCAAGGTGGAAGGGGGATGGGATGAGGGTGGGGGGTGTGAGCTAACATTTCAGATGGAGACCTCAAGGACAGAGCACGGAGCCAGGCCAGCAAAGTCTGCTGAGTCAGTTGCCATTTTACACAGTCAGAAAATAAAATAAGCAAACAGTAAAACAGCCTAAGTTGCTATTTTTTCTTTCATCCAAAAGCTCTTAACACAGAAACTGTCCTTTGGGGCCCAAAGACAAATGGAATTGCTTAGCCTGAAGATGGTTGCTTTCACAGACTGATGAAAACCATAAAAGCTAAGATACAAAATGTGACCTGTGCCTTTGATCCAGATACCATTCTTTACTGGGAAGAACAGGAAAAGAGCTGTGGATTTCTGAGAATGGGCGCTGCAGTATCTCCTTTGTCTCTGCCTCGTATTGCCCTCCTCTCAATGAGAAGGGTTAGATGGCAAAGCTTCTCAGCTTAGTCACAAAGAGTCTCTATAAAACCAGTCCTTCATTTTTTAAGCTCAAAATCAATGGAAGAAATCACATGAAGATCAATACTTTCAACTCCATAAAAATTAAAAACAACTCTATGTCAAAATTTCATACAACCCAAATTAAAGGCAAACAGTAAACAGAGAAAAATATTTGCTACAGTTATGAGGGTGAAATCCAATTTGGGTCAGTTCAACACATGTCTGCTGTGCACCCTCAGGTAATGAGAATTGTTAAGTATTGTCAAGGGTGGAGATCTGACAACCTCAGGAGACACTTTTCTTAGAGTTCTGCTGAGGGCAGGGGACAGACCTGCCTAATGAGATGGGTGTGCACAGTGTAGAAGTATCCCAGAAGAGAGACAAGACTTGAGGCTGTGATAGGATCTGAATCTGAACTGTCCCCTGCAGTTTCTTATTTGAAATGATTATTCCCAGCCAGGAGCACTATTTTGAAACCACATGGAACCTTTAGGGACCAGCAGAAGTTGGGCATCACGGGCAGGACTTTGAGGGCTGTAGACCAACCCTTGTTCCCAAGGGTTCATTCTGCTTTCTGGTGTGTCATGATGTGAACAGCCTTCCGTGCTTCAAAATACAGAAACCCTTAAAAATATTAGTCAAAGTATTTTCTCCATGTGCTATTTACTTTTTCTCAACTTGACACACACTGGGGTCTTCAGGGAGGAGGGAGCCTCAACTGAGCAAGTGTCTCCATCAGATTGACTTGTGGGCAAGTCTGTAGGGACATTTTCTTGATTGATGTAGAAGGACCCAGCCCACTCTGAGTGGTGCTACCCCTGGGCAGGTGGTCCTGGGATGTATAAAAGGGGTATCTAAACATGATCCTGAAGAGAAAGTTAATAATCAAAATTTCCCCATTGGCCTCTGCTTCAGTTCCTGCCTCCAGGATCTTGCCTTGACTTCCTGCCCTGACTTCCCTTCATGCTGGACTGTAAGTTTTAAGATGAAATAAACTCTTTCCTCCCACAGTTTCTTTTGATCATGGTATTTATTGCAGCCTACTAAGATGCCCATTTACCTGTTTCTACTGAGTATTTTGCTCATAGAAGTACAAAAGCATCTCACACTGTTAAGTCTGGAGTTCAGAAAAAGCTCCCAGAAGTTATACTTTGTACTAATAAAAGTTGAGTAGGAATTATCCAAGGGAAGAAGGACACTTGAAACCATGACTAGAGCGTTTTGGTGTGGATTGGTTGATGGAGACAATCGGTTATTCAGAGTTCTAAAACATGCAGTATTGGGAGTGTTGAAGATGGGAACACTCAACTAAACAGGATTAATTTGTTAAAAGCTTCCACTCTGCCCTGTATTCTGATGGGCATTCATCAGACTCCAAAAGGGAGAGGTATGAAGCACATCTTGTCAACTTGTGAGGACTGGGTAGATGGCTTAATGCCTGTCAACTGGTGAGTGAAAGGTACTTAGGGCTTTGAAATGACTTTTAGTCATGATATTACTGCTTTAGCTGATTCACAGCTTCACATATACAAGTTGCTATGGTCTAGCACAAGAGAGTGTGTTGTTTGCATAGTGTCAGGGTTATTTCCCATAGGCATAGGCGAATGGGTGTGCCTAGCTCCAATGCTGGTTAGTGCAAGGGAAAACATTATACTGGTGTTTGTGCAAGATTGTCTTGCTTCCACACTTGTCATCAAGTACATCATCTAACCCCATCACAGCATTCTTGAGTGAATGAATTAGAATTTAAAAATGTACTTGGGCAAAGGGATTATTGTTATTTTGGGATTACCCAGTACACAGACTGAGCAGCCTCTCAAATAGCCATGTCAAGGTTGTCCACATTATAGGAGAAAGGTAATATTCTTAGGAGTTGAGATCGAAGAAGGACAATCTAAAGAGACAGAAAGGAATCCTTTTCCCCAAGTGCAAAGAACAAATGTTGGGTCACTAGTTACTTTTCCTGTTGCTGTAACAAAATACCTTAGGCTTTACTTTGACTTGCGGTTTAAAGGTGCAGTCCACCATGGTGAAGGACATGACAGCCGAAACATGAGGCAGGGGCTCACATTGCATCCAAGTCAGGAAGCAGAGAGAGATGGATGCTGGTGCTTGGGGGCCCACATTAATGCTGGGTCTTTGTTGTACAATATCAGTTGAAGATGTGTTACATTCGTTTATGCTGTGGAACGTTTGTTTGATGATGCAAAAATGTGTTCATTCTTTTATGTTGTATTCATTTAATTCTGTGAGGCTGTGCTACTTTGCCTGTCTAAAGTACCGGATTGGTCTAATAAAGACCTGAACAGCCAATAGATAGGAAGGAGGGAGAAACAAGAGAAAAAGAGAAGAGGAGGTGATGGGGGAAATACTTCTGTGTATGTTTATAAATAAAGAACTTGCTTGGCCAATGAAACAGCAGGTTAGGCTGGACTAGGAGTCAAAGAGGATTCTGGGAAATGTAGTAGAGAAGTGGTGTTCCAGACAGGAAGTGACATAGCAAGGAGAAGACATATTTAAGAAGAGGAAAAAGGAAGTGTCGCCCTCTTTTCCCTCGGCTCCTGCTCCAGTGGCACGAAGTGATTCACCAGTAAGGAGGGACGCCAATAAGGCGTCCGATAAGATAAGTCCCATAAAATATATAGATGTATGGTATTTGAGACTGAGCTAACAAATGAGAATCCTAGTCATTGGCCAAGCAGCATTGTAACTAATACAAGTCTCTCTGTGTATTCATTTGGGCCTAACTCGGGCAGGCGGCTGGCGTAAAGCTTACACATGGCGGTGGGGCTCAAGGAGGAGCCAGAAAAGGAAGACAGGAGGACTCCAGGGGCCAGCCACCCAGTTACACAGCAAGCTACGGAATAAGAAGTAAAAAAAGGTAAAAGCCCAGAGGCAAAGGATATATGGGATAATTTAATTTACGAAAAGCTGGCTAGAAATGCACCAAGTGAAGGCTGGGCATTCATAAGAAAGGATAAGTCTCCGTGTATTTATTTGGGAACTGGGTGGCAGGCCCCCAAAGAGCAAAAAGAAAAAAAAGAAACAACAGGTCTCCCCACCTCAGTAAAGCCTTCCAGATATATCCAGAGGTATATCTTCCAGTTGGTTCAAATCCAGAGAAGTTGACAATCACAATTAACCATCACACTTGGTAAAGCAACATGGGACTCTCCAGGAAGACAGAGAGATAGAAGTGGTCATTATCCCTGGTTCCAGGCACAGAGCCCCCAAACTTTGGAATTTCTCATGCCAGTAATAACAGCCAACAGACTCCTTCCAAAACACCCCCTGTGTCTCTGCTGACAAGGGGCATCAGGTTGGGGGCCCTTAGATACTTTCTGGACAGTGATAGTTATGGGAAAGTCCACACTGCCAAACATATGATTGGAGGACATGGACTCTCAGTGCTGCCTTATACCTCCTACCTCACAAGGCAGGAGAGAGGTTGCAGATTGCTTCACAAAAGCTGCCAACAGAAGTTCAGGGCCTTGAGGTTGCTCAGTGCAGAGGTGGAAGCTTGGTGCTCCTCCCCAGCCTTGCCCTGAGCATCTCTTCCACTTGGTTGTTCTAAGCTGTATCCTTCATAGGAATCCAACAACAGACACAGGGCTCTCAAGAGTTATGTGAGGCCTTCTAGTGAGGTAGTTTCTCAACCTATGGGTCGCAACCCCTTTGAAGGATGGGATGACCCTGTCTTTCACAGGGGTCACATACCAGATATCCAGTATATCAGACATATATGATTTATAACAGTAGAAAAATTCCAGTTATGAAGTAGCAACAAAAACAATTTTATGGTTGGGGTCACCACAACATGAGGAACTGTTTTAAAGGGCCACAGCACTAGGAAAGTTAAGGACCACTGTTCTTTCTTTTACCTTCATACCCATCCTCTGCCCTTGCAACACCCCCCCCCAATAAAATATAAAATTTAAGAGTTAAAAAAAAAAGAAAAACCTTGTGGATGCTGTGGACACTGTAGTGTGAAACAGTGAGTCATGCAGTAAACCCTTTTATCTATTATCTTTACTTGTAAATGCTCATTGCAAAGCGTTATTGGTCTAGTTTGAGGCCTCTCACTATCAATACTGGGCCCTCACTGGAACTCCTCTTGGATATCCAGTTATTGCCCTGTGTTGTGGAGATCCTGCAGCTTTGGAACTGCAGGATGGCCCCTTCAGTGCTCCAGCAGATAATAGATGGGGTGGATATTGCGATGGGCCAACTCATGGCCCTGGTTCTGGGCCTGGGTGGTTGCAGGGTTGGTCAGCCTGCCAGCTCTCACCCATCCTCACCACCAGGGTGAGCTCTCCAGCATTGCCCCAGTTAGTTCACCCTATGCAGCAAGGAACAATGGGCAGAGCTGATTCTCCTGCTCTCATGCCCTCAGGGCCAGCTCACCTGCAATTAATCCCCTACCTCCTGAAAGGTTTGGGCCCTGTGTCGCAAGGCCACATCACAGCTAAGTCACTCATTACAGGGCTGCATAGGGACACCACGTATGCTTGAGCTCCCCCTTTTGAAGCCTGTGCCCACATCCCTCAGCTCTCTGTTTCTGGTGGTCGACCACTAATTCTTCTCTCTTACTTTCTGCTCTGATCTGTTCTTCCATTTCTCTCTCTCCGGAATAAAACTCTATGGTTAATGTACTCTATGGTTTGTGTTCCATCTCGCAACTTTCTAATTTTTAAGCTTAAACAAAAGGACAACACCTCCCACCCCACCCTATCAACAGGACAGCTCTACTGTCCTGCCAAGGTGAGGTACAGTGGGTGCTGCAGCAGGTAATGAGGAGGGTCAGCTCCCTTGCCTGCCACAGGTGGCAAGGAGTGAGGGAAGGAAGGGCATCTTTTCCTTATCCTTACCACCACTGGGCAAATGAAGGGGGTGGGGCCAGCTTTTCCATTCTTACTCAGGGCTGCTCACCTGAACCCTTGCCAGCAGGGTCAGCTCTACTGTGCATCCCAGGTAAGGTGCAGGGCCAGTTCTCCAAGTGTTGCAGCCGGTGAGGGGTAGGAGCCAATTCCATTCTCTTGGACATCCCTATCCTCTTGGCCTTTGGTGGTAACAGGAGCCATTAACGTCAACACAAACCAACGCTGCAGCAGGGCCACAAACCCAGACATGGGCTTTCACAGAAGTCCAGGCCCAAACAGCGCCATGGCCCTGGGTGGCAAGCACCTACCTCAGCCTGCTCCTCACTGCTTTCATCTCTTCAGATCTGCCCTCTCCACAAGACATGAACCATTCTTTCTCTCTCTCCATACTCACCATATATTGGCTCACCATAATAGTACCTGACTGCCCGGCGATGGGCAAGGCCATTGACTCCTCCTCCTGCTCATTTGTAATGGAGAACCACTGTTCCAGTGAATTATCATGACCTCTAATACAGAGTTGGGAGTGGGGTGAGAAGTACATGTAGAGGCTGGGGAGATAGCTCTGAGGTTAAGAGCACTTGCTGCTCTTGCACGGGACATGGGTTCAACTCCCAGAACCCACATGTGGCTCACAGCCATCTGTAACTCCAGTTCCAGCAGGAACACCTCCTCCTGACCTCCCAGGCACCAGGCACACACATGGCACACACACACAGGTGCAAACAAAACACTCAGAAACATAAAATGAAATTAATCTAAAAAAAAATTTAGGAAGCTGTGGAAACCCAGGACCCCTGTCTGGTGTCTAGAGCAGTCTTGTAGGATGGAGCACTTACCTGAGGGGATGGAACTAACTCTGGGTAGTTAGTGTGGGAACTGACTTGAGATGTTGGACACTTTGTTCAGCCGGTGCTGCAGAAGTGGAGAATTGTTGATGTTGGAAGAGACAGTGCACAGTGGGAACCAGGGAGAACAACTGCTCTTTACATTGCTCTTTTCTCTTAGGACAGCTGAGAACTCTTTCTGATTTACCAGCAAACCATTTTCTTGCCTTTTGGACGTAAGCTTTAGAGCCACCACAAGAAGCTCTGCAAATAGTGCTTAGAACTAACGGTTTAAACAGCAAAGGGAAACATGGCCTTTGCCAGGTGACCTCCTTACTGAGGACGCTGTGGAGCTGTGACATCATAGGTACATCAATGGAGAAACAAGGGGAGTAGCACTGTCCATGCTACTGTCATACGGACACCAAGAACAAACTGTCCCTTCCCTCAAATAGGTTCCAGGAAGGTGACCTTAAGGAAAACAAATTGACATTTGGCCTGCTTTTTGTGTCACTGAGAAAATACACCATATGGAAACCAAAGAGAGGCCTTACTGCTTAAAAACAAGTTATTCTAATTCCCTGCATATTTTATGCAGGGAAAGGAACTAAATTAAAACGAGTAAGAATAGCCTACAAGATCCTTAATTGATAAGGGAAGAGGCGCTCATTTAGTTAGTGGTTGTCTTGATAATACCTGCTGGACAGGCTATAATCTAAAGAACCCTGGGGATCAAGACAGAAAGAACCCAAGAAATAAGGCAGCAATATAGAAGAATTCCATAAATTAAATCATAGTTTGAAAGGATGAAGTCATGTTAACGCTCATTACCATATTTTAATTTCATGGTGATTAAAATTATAATGTAGCATGTATTGCCACTTAATTGATCTGCCAACACCAAGTATTTGCAAGTTTCTTTTTGTTCTCTGAAGTCATAAACTACTCTCTGCTGCATAATTCCAGGGGTAATTTTAAACCATAAATATTTCCGAAGTCATAAACTATCTACTCTCTGCTGCATAATTCCAGGGGTAATTTTAAACCATAAATATTTCTCTTTATTAAAATTCTCAGGAATTAGAACCTCAATCGCTATTTATTTATATCTGCTTTGGCATGAGGCCAGGACATTCATTTTCTTACATTTTGAATTCTACAAAATTAAAGTGCTAAAAAACATTATCTATTAATCTTCATGCTTCCTTTCATGACAGTTTTATGGTTTAACCAGAATGTTTGAGGTCTAGGGTAGAACAAGTTAAACACAGTCCCTTGACAACTGGGTACTTTTCTTTGATTGGAAGCCTCTCCTTATTGAAGATGGAGAACCATGCTACTGTCAAGCCATGGCCAGTAGCTGGCCAAGGGTGAGCTTCCCCCTGCTGACACCAGTCCCCAAATATCATTAGCAGACTCACTCATGTCCCCTTATTTCACACTTACTTCCTTAGATACTATCCCTACACTGTCCTTAAGATGACCCCTTTTGGAATTGTCCCTGACCCTTCAGAATCCAGACCCTCCAGTCTGAATGACTTTAGCTTTCATCAGGTGCCTTGGTGCCCAGCCACCCTGGCTGCGATGGAATAAATGGGACACATATGTCACTTGGAACCTCATGAGTCTCTTCAGGTAAGAATTAATTTGGCAAATTGCAAAACCTTTCAGGGACAATACTTTCCTAATGACTCCTGCCTCCTTTGACATCCCATTGCCCTGATTAATGGTCATTCAAATTGGCCACCTGGCATAGCTCACTGTCAAAATCAAAAAGGATATGGCTTCAGAAGGCACTTTCCTTTGTGTAGTGAACACCCCCTCTCTGTGTGTCTGCTTCCCTTCCCCCTTCTCCATAGTTACAAGCACGGATAGTACCTGAATCCTAACGAGTTAGTGACCCTGCTCTGCACTTACACTTCAGACTTTAAATTAAACACATGTTGCAACTAGATCCTTGGATTTGTTCAAACTGTTAGAAGTGAATGATCTGCAGAGGGTTGCTTTATGGAGCCCCTTTTCATGCACTAGCTAAGAGGTTGGGGGTAGGGACAAAGAAACAGCTTATTTTAAAAACATTATTACAAATTATGAGCAAAGAAATCTAATTCCTATGCTAAACCTCCGTGTGGGTTTGATCATTTTTTTGAATCCGGCTCTTATGTAACTTACTA